AGTGAAAGCAGTAGATAGGATATGAACTATGCCACAGGAAATTACATCAAGCTTAGATCTTTAATAGGTTGTCTGTTGGTGTTTGTTTGTGCGCAGGACTGGGTCAGCAGGGACACCGAAGCGACATCCAGAGCCCCTCTCTGGAACCCTCTTTCAACATTCACAACACAGATCCATTAGAAATGTTTGCCGCCACCCCTCCCCCTCTTTCTCCGTGAGCGCGTGTGTGAGTGTGCCTGCGTGTGTGTGTGTTTATTATCATAGTTTATCGATGTAGCATCAGTTGAAGGTTACACAGCAAGACAGGAAAGGATATTTCCTCAGTTCCTATTTCAAATGCAGCAGTAATTGTACAATTAGACAGGATGTGATGCTTGTTTAATGTTTCTAATAACTGAGCCAGTCTAAATAGCGATTTTATTATTGCTGTTATGAGGCTTGTTTTCTTCTGGAAGCATTTTCGATTTTTTTTTTAATGTTTGGTTGTAAATAATTGTATTAAAATAAGAGCAAAACTGAAAAGATTTAAATGTGTCTTTTATTATCATAATGATAATAATGATAAAAGAAACTGACAAATATCGTCTCATGACTGTTTCACAAGCTGCGATGTTTTTACGTTGAAAGTTTAGCCTTGATCTTGGAAAAAAGCCGCTGACAGAAAACTCTCACGTCAAGGTCTGTTTGGAAAGTGCTCTGGAGATTAGAATTATTATACAGGATCTTCACCATCAGATGGAGTTTAGTCTAAAACTCAAGCTCGTCATATGAGATTGTTTTGACAGATGCCATGTCTCATGTGTATCTGTGTCATCTTATAATAATCTCCCGTGTCCGACTGCACAGGCTTCACGTTTATTATAATTTACAGCATTTCATAATGATACACAGTGCATTTGACAGGCTTACAGTATATGCCAGCACAATATTTACTTTCTCAAAAAAGGTGTTTATTTGTGTTACCAAATCCTCACAACTTTTCTAAGTAAAAAATTCAAGCAGGTTGCCTAATCTTGCAACCTTGGTTTGTTATACAGTATATCTGCATTTATAACCGGGTACAGGTCAGGACACGGACTAATGGTGTGTTGCATGTATTTATGATACATTGCACAATGAGTGTGAAGGAAAAGGCAACCAAAAAGTTAACTGATCTGCTGTAGTTTTGTTAGATGTTCTGTAGAGGGCACTGTTTCTGTAACTTTTCAATGTTTAAATCATCTTGCAGGACAACAGAACAACTGCAATTTGTCAAGCCGATCTCCTTTATGGTGACATAACAGGTCCCCGAACACGGGACCTGTTATGTGACCGGTTATGAGCCTGACATGCATGAAGCCAAGCGCTCATGTAACTCGAGAACTACAAGTCTTACTTTTATGGCATGTGACGATAGGACGAGGGCTATAATCATTATGAGCCCTCATATATATGTTTGAGAGTGAGCGTGCTGAGAGTAAGTAAAAGCAAGAAAGTAAAAGGCCTCAGGAAGGAGCTACACCTCCCACCTGTTTATGCAGGTTTTATGGTGGACAATAATTTGGCACAGACAAGCTGTCACCATATCTCAGAAAGCGGTGAGAAGCCAACTCGGTCTTAGACCTTAGTTTTATTAAATTTTTACCACAGCGTGCACAGAGCAGAGAATGTATTATTTCACTTCCCCTTCCTGCACCCTGGGAAACACACATGAGAAGCGAGGACGGACTCAAAGGCTGAACACGCTGTCTGTTTGTCCAGCTCATATTAATATCTGAGTCATACCTTACTCCCGTGTGGTCACAAGCAAGCGCGTGCATGTACAGCTTAGATATTCAGATCCAGACAACAGCATTGAGCAAATCTGTTCAAATGAGAGGCAGAATAACAATTCGATGCCTCAGTGATGCCAGTTCAACATGGTCATGAACTTAAGTGGCACCTTAAATTGCCCACATGCCTCACCTTGTTACCATATGTAACACTGTGAATTATGAGTCAGGCTGATATGAAATGACATCCTGAATCTTGATACTGATGATATTTGTCCTTTCGGAGATGCTGGACCAAATATGAGGGAGCTTTAGGTTCATATTTTCATTTAATGTGATGCAATGCACTTGATATGTATTTGAGGTGTAAAGTAAGGGTAAGCGGTGCATGATTACCTTCAACAGATTATTCCACAACAATATGCTGCTGCTTCTGACATTTTCTTACTAATTCATTTTAGCTCAAGGCCAGTGATTGCCAGTTCACCCGTATCTTTCAGTGACTCATGGGAACACTCAAAAACACAACTTATTTAATGTTTTACAGTATGCTACAAGTCCAAAGGCAAATGTGAGTCGCTAAGCCTAACTATATTCCACAACCTTTAAAAGTATTTTAAACTGACAGCACAGTGAACTTTATTAATAGATATTAATCAGTAACCCTACTTGCTCATTCATTAGAAGACTATCTTATTTCAAGACTGAGATGTGTTTGCAGTGAACACACATTAAATAGGTCCACTCCTCCTCTCGGTAAACAGACGGAACGAAATCAAGTGGGTTTATGTAATATCAAGGTGTAAAATAAATGTTTATTCTCTGTGACTCAGCTATGCCATTTATCCCCTCCTCTCCCAAACATCAAAACAATGGAACACACCCACCCAAAGGCCCGCATGTAATGAAATCAAAAGAATAATTTCTGAAACCTCTGCGTTATCTATTCATGGTACACAAACGTATGACACATAGAGACTGTGCCTGGTGACTCCAGTATCTGTCATCAAACGCCCGCTATTGTGTTTGAATTGGGAATTGTATTAAACTGACTAATTGGTACACATGTAAGGTCCACACCTGGGTCATCGAGTTACACAAACCTGGCCAAAAATGTGTGGTGGGCCCACGCCAATACAGAATAGTCATAAATGTATTTTTCTCAAAAAAGTAACAGTTACGCCTTTGTTGAACTCTTTAAAGTGTTTATTAAGTATGCTTTAAAGTGGTCAATGATTGGATAATGAAGTAGCCTGAGCTTTTCCAAAGTGTAGTGGTTTACACATTGCCTAACAGGAAAAGTAGCTCTTCTTTCCTTCAATCTGCTCATGTTCACAGCCTCAAGTGTTTAAACAATTATTCATGTGCAAGTAGACCTCAGAGAGCTTTTCTCTTAAAAAGCAGCATTTTGGGATCCACTTAGAAAGGGAATAAACGAAGCAGAAATACACCCCGGATATTTATTCCTACAGTTGTGAAGGGCAGAAGGACTTCCACTGATGAGGGCAGGCTGGCCTCTTCATTTCACTCCAACCAGAGTCATTACTTAGCAGCTCTTGCTCAAACCAAAGTCTCAGGTGATGTTCACAGTGACTGTGAGCTGCTGCTAAAGTGTTCAGCACCTTTAAAGTAAACTGGAAATTTGCATCCAGATTTTTTTTAAAAAATGGCATTTTCCACAAAAGCTTTCATTTTTTCTAGTTTGGAAATCAGATTTTTGCTTGTTTAATTCATTTTGGTTACACTCTACCAGTCACGGCTGAGTTTGGGAGAAACTATTCAGCTCGGGAGTGCAGGGGAGAAAGAGGCAGATGAAATACAAACAACTGTACCCATGATATAATTTTCTTATGATAAAGAAATATATCTATGTTTTTTAAAAAAATAATATATGATTTCAAGATCTCAAGTTTAAGAGAATTTGCTTATTGAGTGGGCCCAAACTGTGCATGGACCCATGCCCACTGGATAATCCTACCCAGGTAAGTTCATGTTTTCCATGACTACAGCCACAGGGGCTGTTAAGAAAAGACGAGGCAAAGGTGGAATCTATTATTGTTATTGTCAGTACTATTACAAATTTTACTTTGATCTTAAGGGCAGTTTGGTTGAAAACCCATTTGGTGATCCTTGTGAGCATGTTTGATTAAATCCACGGCTTCTGTTAAATGCCTTGCTGTGGCATGAGCGTATGGGTCATTTGGCTGGATGAGCTAATAAAGAACTAAATACATATATTTGCTTTAAAACAGCTGGAATATTGTTGTTGCTAGTCTAGACTAAGTTCACTCCATGTAGTATTGGCTGGTTTTATTTCTAACAGTTCTATAAGGTAATCGCATTTTGTGTGAAAACTTGACATAGTCTAAAACTATGAATGGCAAAATGTAAAAACTTTTGTTTAAAGGGCATAAAGCAGCAAATTCTTACAAGGTAAATAGCTCATAATGCCCTTCATGTCTTCTTATACTTTTGTCCTCTTGACAAAGAGTTATTACAAGAGCAGTGACTAATCCTCTAAACATGGACAGTGTCACACAATGCTGCCACGATGACTTTGTGCCAAGAGGACTTTGGAAGCCAGAGATAACGAAATATCATGGAAATGACTTGATAATGAGCTTGTGATACATGGGTATGCAGCACAACTTCGAAAAAGTCAGATTACATATCAGAATGACTGATAAAATGTAAAATGAAACTTGCCTGGCCGGCTTTGACGCTTTCACATAACATAGAGAGAAACATCTTTGATGGTTTACTTTTTATTCTGAGGTAGCAAAGCAAACTGTGTTTTACAAATCTAATTATAGTGTTGATCTTTGATCTTGTAGGAGGTTTTCTCCTCAGTTCAATACCATAGCCTTTGGTGATACGCCAGAACAGCTTGGCAACATGGCAAAACAAGGAAAGTTGCCAAAGCAATGCAAGGTTTTATTTGTGGAGTGCCTTCCGTACACCAAGGCAGAATGAGCATACTGCAAAAAAAGAATTAATTAACACACATGATGCGTTAATTCAAATATATGTTTATAAAGCCTAAATCCTGTAAGGACAAGAAATGGTAAAGAGGCCAAAATCAAAAATATATAAGATTTATAATGATAATAAAAAGTAGAATAAAGTATAAAGGTGAAATAATTATACTTAAAAAAATAACATATAGACGAGTGAAAGAAAGATTTATAATAAAGAAAGTTTGATCACTAAATTTAAAAACAAGAAAAGCACTTTAAAGAACAAAAACAACACATAGATTAAAATAATAAGTAATATTAATGGCTATATATCACCATCCAGATTGAAAAATATTTTTTTAATGTTATGATTTAATAATGTACAGATGATTGAGACATTCCTAAGAACATCAGGTAGTTTCTTCCAGCGTTGTGCAGCACAGTGAGAAGTTGAACTTATTAATAATTTTGAGCACTTTAGTTCCTGTGGCTCCACCATAATAATTTGCCCGCAATGTCACTGGGCTGCGTCCAGTCAGAATGAGGTGATAAATTATTTAAAGGAGACTGGAAGGTCACTAAAGCATGATCTCAGCTCATCTACACTCATCTACACCCACAGGAAGGTCCACCAGGGCAGTCGTGCTGCTTAATTCAAGAAAAGATCTTCCAAACCCAGAAGTTCTTTGGCATTTATGAGGCATGTCGGGTTAAGAAGATGAACGCAGTAGAATAGATGAGCAGTACAGAGGGTAACGTTCACAGATTTTTAAAATTGTATTTCACAGATTTAAACATGCAAAGAATAATGAGGGTAATGTGGGAAAGAAAATGGCCTTTTAAATGAATGGAAAAGTCCAAGCATTCCTATAAGACAGGTAAATTCTTAAAACAGCAGCTAACCGTGACACTTTACCAGTTAATCCCTTTAATTTGAACAAGTTTTGTATGAAATACAGACTAATTTACATGCACATGTAGAACAATGAACACCTGTATTTGAGCATGTATTTGAGTATTTTTCTTTCCACTGTTCTCTCATCAGTGAATGACTGTTATGTCATAATTCAGCTCACAAACTCACAACTTTCTACTTTTTATAAACGTGCTTTTATTGCCCTTGAATTCAGCTTCCAGAACTTATTCATGAATAGTAACAAAAAAATAATATGTGAGTGAGATATTTGGTGCAATAAAATAGATTGCTGGAGGAATGTCGTAGATATTTTTACCTGTGGCCTAAGGGTCATTTTGGCCTTAAAATTTCTGATGTCTGGACTTACATCTGTGTAGTACATGCTCTGTTTGATGTATTCCTGAGTGTTTAAAGGCTCATTAAGGGCTCAGCATACCTTAATAACTCAGTGTTGAGGTTTGTTAGTGCCAAATATTTGCTTTTGTAAACTGAATGACTTTTATCCTATGTAAATAGTGAACAAATAGCACCAAGGTTGGCGCTGTGTACCTGTATTGACAATAACTGTGAGATTTGACAGCTGGGATTCAGACCCAGGCTACACCTCCCTTCACTTGTATCTTCAGTGCCATAAGATGATAAAGGACAATTACAATAATATCATTAAAGTCAAACCTGGACACAATAATCACAAAATGACACTCTGATATTACAACAGCCCATTGAAAACACAACATAGTGTTGAAATTAGAAGTCTGTTGGTTTGCAAGCACAGTAGTCTGGGTAGACTTATTGTTTCAGTCCACCTCTGACTCAGATCACTGGTCTATGCACACTACATTTTTTAGTTAGCAATTTACTAGGAACCCCTTGGGTATGTAATCAAATACTATAAACCTGTAGCAAATTATCACTGAGAGGTGCTAATTTATATTGCTTGCATATTTTCAATCAAGGATTCAATTAAAAAAGATGAAAAGGAAATTAAAATCAATCACATAAAAACAGAAAACTTGAGCACATTAAAACCAAGGAAGTACAACTTGTACAAAATATGAAATCTAAATTCAGAATAGCAGTTTGCACTCTTCGGTTACATAATATTTTATCAGTACTTTGAACTCGTCAAGGGTCGAGAGAATGATTAAGCTCCAGTGTTCTGAAGGGTATTGGATGACCATGGTAGAACTGGAAAATTCTGTTCTCAGCAAAAAAATCCCAGTAAATCCTGAGTTCCCAGTAGAGTGGCCATGTGATTAGCTCAAGATTAGTCATTGGAAATATATTGCTGAAGTAATTATTTTATAATGCAATCAAATATCACTGGTCTCTAACTGCAATCTTCAAAATGGCCAAAGAGTTCAATAAAAAAAACCAACAGCATTCTGACAGAGTCAATAAAAAGTCAGGAGACAGAGCTAGGCAAAGATAGGGTTTATTACATGGCTGTTGTATCAGATTGCATAAGGTGTTTACATGTGTGATAAACTAAATTATTTCCTCTATGTAGATATTGTTAAGCACATAAGACTCTTGATGACACATTGTTTTTTCAAAACATAAGAAATCCACAGATGAAGGAGTTCCTGATTGTTTGAAAATCTCCTAAATTCTTCTTTTCTCCCACATATTATTTTTATTTTTATTGTCTTTTTACATTCATTAGTCTTAAGGGTTTTCAGCACCTGAAGCAGGCCATGAGCTTATCTACTTATAGGTGCCCCACGTTCTCCATTCACATCTCTTCTTTGCTGAAGGACTCTTCAGGTTTTTTTTTAGTCCACCACAAATCATGTTCCTTGCTCCCAATACTCCCGACCCCTTTTCTAGCCTCAATCCCTGACCTCTTTCTCATTCCACATTCCCTCCTTCTTCCTCTTCATCGTTGTTCCTCATTCCCGTCTGCAGGTCTCTGTAAAAAGACCTTTCTCAGTCCAAGTCCTTGTTGTTGTGTCCATTGATCAGACCTGATTCCCAGCGCAGCACTAGAGGAGACTTCTGTCTAGGGGTACGAGGACTCTGGGGGAGCTGAATGAAAAGGAGAACAAAAAGTGAACAGGAGTAAGTGGTGATTGCATGGTAAAAGAAGAAGCAGGCAGTAAGTTGGAAGAGTAGGAGCAGAAAAAGAAAGAGAATTCAAAAGTATGTTGGAGTGGGAGACCAAACCAAAAAGCCAACACGGAGGGAGCGAAAAGAAAAGAAAGGGATGAATTTGCTTCCTCTTGAGGACATATCTTTGGATGAGCATCATTAGCTCTGTAAGTCAAAGGGAGGTTAATGCGACTGTGATCCAAGGCCATGTTCTGTATGACTAAGTCAACAAGTGAGGCCAATTTGCCCTGCAATCCTTCATGTATCTCTGAACTTTAATCAGGAACTAGGTCTGTGCACAGATAATCAACCAGCAGAGAGAGAAAGAGAGGGAGGGGCTATGAGGAAGTGAGAGGAAAGAGGGCAAAACGCTGCTAATGTCAGACTGAACCATGCAGCTAAACCCCAGCACATCAATGCCAAACTGAATTAAACAGCTCAAGCCACGAAGCAGCACTCCGCTTTAATCAGAGATACCAGAGTATCAAAGAGATGCAAGACCCACAAGGAAGGTAACACAAATCAGTGGGATTGTCAATTGACTTTCCTCTTTGCCTGCTATTGACTGCTCAAGTGTGCGCACATACACACACTCTACAGACACGTTCCTTCCCTCTCTCTCTTGCTCTCTCTCAGTCTCAGGGCTGTTTGCCTTCATCCCTTATCTATAAAGATAAGAGCCTCACTGTGTGTTCAGCATGTTATCAGATATTTGCGTCCCATATTTGGTGCAAAAGAGATGCTGACATCCTCCCACAAGACTTTCTCCATTTGACACATTACAGTCCAGAGCAGTTTTAAACAGACAGATGCGTGACAAATTAAAGGAAAATGGGGAAAAGGGGAAGCTGTTAAGCTGTGGGAGGAATTTTGCTGGATTTATTTGACTCCACTTAGCCTCTCTGATGGAAATGATCACAGCTAATCAATAAAAAGTTGTTTTAAGATATCTTAATTTATTTCCTGATTGGACGTGGTGTAGCTGAGACCTTTAGGACATTTTATGACTTTAATTCTTCTGCAATAAATTCCAAAACCCATTGAATCTGGTCTCGTGGCACTTGGTTGACCAGCATCGTACAAGAACACTCTATGTTGGATCTTCCTTTAATTCACCTGCCTGAAAGCTCATCTTAATGCGACATTGCAAGTCAAATGTAGAGCTAACAAAGCATCATTATTTTGGAACCTGATATCTTCTTGTCTGCATTCCAGGGAGACTCAGGATGGCGATTTGCCTACATTTTCATGTCCTATGCCAAGTGTACTAGACGGGTGAGGTTGGCACGTTAAAATTCAGAGTCGAAAGTACTTAATAAAACTCACTGCGAAGTTTTATTAAGTACCAGATGGTAAAATTTATACAAACTCTAAAAATCAATAGTGTGACGGATGAGCTGTAACACTGACACACCTCTGGCCGGTTAATCTTCTCGTCTTCAGCCTGGACCGGGGGCCACACAAATGACTTGCTGACTGACAGGCGCGCTGGAAGAGAAGAGAAAAGCAGATGAAGAAAGAACAGCAGTGAGGGAGAAGTGCCCCTGTGATGTTGTTTGAGCACCACAGTGTGAACACTGAATCAAATTAAGATTGAACATCGTGAGGCAGCAGAGAGAAATGAGAAGAGACAGAGGATTGCAAAGGGAACAGACGGAAAGAAATCTGTACATGAATGCGGAGAAACAGAAACTAAAAGCAGGCAGCGGTAATTAAGAAACAGAAGTTCAATAAAGCCTGATGTGTAAAGCAATATGCAGCTGCACTTTGCACGACCTTCAGTTACTGTCCGGCGTGCTTTGTGGACACACCCTGGTCAGTTTATGTCACTCATTGTTAAACCAACAATGTTTTAAGTCATTCATTCTGACGTAATCACAAATCAGCCTTCATGGCAACACAACACAGACAAAAAAACCACACTGAAACATACTGTAGAGCAACGCCTCCCAGTCTTTTTTTTCCTGATGTATCACAGCCAAGCACTCTTTCAAAATGCCCTTCAAAATCATGTATCAAATGTTTGTAATTTGAATTATTAAGCACTGTTTTTATAAATCTCTACTTGTGTTATTCATATTTTTATTCTTGGACTCTACTGGAGTAGCTTTGCGTCATTCACAGTTCAAAATAATCCTTATTCTCTATCTTAATCTTTGCCCCAACAGAAGGTTTGAGCCTTCTGTTAGCAGGGCGATGCTCACTGCCAGGGCTGGTTTTGAAATGACCATATAACAGTATCCTGTTTTTAACATCATGCAGAGCTGGAGAAGGAAAAACAGAAGTTTGAAATCAAGCGTTCAGAGGAGCCTGAAATTTTGGCTCAGGTGGAAAAGCTTTAAGCTAACCTTAGCTTTCATCTTAGCTAAAGCTATAAGCTAACGTTACTAACTCAAACTATGTTTAATATGAATATCCACCAATCTAATAGTATAGATGTACGTTACAGACATATATATAGCTCAAAACTAAACTCTCTACTGAAACCCATATCTTTAAAAATAATATAAAAATATAAATATCTATAAATATATAAATATATGTTTCATCTTTATTGTAACTGTATTGATTTCAGCTATTTATCTTTGGCTAAATTGGCTATTTAGCAGTTGTTTTTCTCCCTTTATTTAAGGTCACTAACTTATTATTTAAACTATTTAGCCCATTTTCTTACCTGACTATTTAAACCAAGCATATAAAGATCCCTGGATTGCTGACACAATAGCAAGTACCCCACCTGGAAATCACTACTGTATAATACAGGCAAACAAAATTTCCCAGAGATACACTATAGGCAGCAATAGTCTACACACACGCACACACATGCACAAACTCTGTATCAGATTATATCCACTTTTTGAATGCTGATTTCGGACTTAATTCCCAGATTGGACTCTTTCAGCCAGCTCCTTTCTTCCCTGACACAATAGCGTTGAAATATGAGCCAGGTTTTTCCCTGCCTCAGCTTTTCACAATTAATATGACAGGTTAGGTGCTACATTTTTTTGTTGAGTTACAGAATTTTATATTCTGGCCGGCCAGCTTATGGGCTCCAGAGCAAAGTTATTGCTCATAATAGCTAACAGTAGATTCGAAAGCTGTTTTGAGGTTTTCCACTGACCATAAGGAAAATGAAATAATGTGCTCACTGAGCTGTTTCAGGGGGTTTTCATCATCTAGCTGCGGATATAAAAATGACACACACACCCACGCTCAACCAGTCATACACACACACCAGCCTATGTGAGCAGGCGGGCACAAACAGAATCAATTACACCCTTACACACATGCTCACCCAGAGACCAACACAGGCCTACACTAACCTGCTGAGGGTCCAGTTTCTCCTTTGGATGATGACCCAGGTGCGTCAGCAACGGACAGTCCGTTTAATGACAGCACAGGACTCTTTAACTCCATGCTGACTGGCCTTCCTCCCTCTCTTTCTCCCCCTCCTTGTCCTTGTGTACCACCAACACCACCACTGCCCCCATACAGACTAATCCTCTGCTTGCGAAGCTCCTTCTCCCTCTTCTGGGCCTCCTGGATATCCTCCTTCACTTTCACTAAATTATTTGAAGAGCGCAGCTTGAAAAAAGGGTTCTCCTTGGGTACTAAATCCTCCACCTCCTCCTTTTCTTGTCTTTTTTCTGTTACTTTTTCATTCCCTCCTTTCTGTGACAATAAGATGTAAGGACTTCCAGAGTCGACAACAGTAATACCCTCTGATTTGTCTTGGTGTTTCTTCGGTGTTGTGTTCTTCAGGTTGTTCTCTAAGATTATGACTTGTCGACTTGTCCCCTGTGAGATACCCGGTCCTTGAAGAGTGTTTTTGGTTACACTCCGTCCTATGGGAGAGTTTGGGGTCTGTGTCGGGCTAAGAAGATCCAAACTGTGTCTCTTCTCGACACGTGTGTCTTCTGTGGTGGACACCTGTGATGAGATGTCTTCCTGCTTCTTGGGAGTTGAACCATTGCTGACAGAAGAAACCGATGGGGCCCTGCGACTGGTTGAGGCTGTAAAAGTTGAGTCACTGGGTGTCTGAAAGGTCTCATAGATCTGTTTCTTCTCCCTTATTTGTCGGACTGTGCCTTTATCATAAAAACCTGGAATTTTCCCAAGCTTGACCAGATCCTGCTCCCTCTGGGTCTCCGTTTGAATCTCATACAGCATCTTTTTGCCAGCAAACTCTCTATCTTTGTCCTGACACCACTCAGTCTTCGCAGCTACTGAATTGGAAAGAACAGTTTTTCTTAAGGGAACCTCTACATACTCTGGAGTGATGCGTAGATTTGGAAGCCCTCTGGATCTTCTCAGGCTATGTTCCCGCTCTATAGCCCTTCGGATCTCCCTCTCAATGGGAGTCTCTCTGGATACAGTTGATGGAGAGCTCTCCAAAGTGTTGGACGGGGAGAAATCAGCTGATACGCCACTGTCACTCTGGCTATCGTCACATGAGTCATTCTCCATCCTGGTGTGGTTGCTGTGCTTCAGAGACACACCACAGCTATATTTTTCTATCTCCGGCTCTTGTATTTGGACTGTTTGTGAATATCTCAACAGTCTCCCGCTGTGTTGCTGACCAGCTGGCTTGTTCCTTTTAAGTCCGCTCTCTTTCTGCCCTTCCTCCCCACCTGTTTGCTCATTTTCTCCCTCTGTTCTTTCCCCCGCCCTGCTGTGCCTTTCTCTCACAGCAACAACGCAAGCAAAGCCTGTAGCAGAAGCAGCCCCACCTGGATTGGACGGCTCCATGGCAACGGTCGACAAAGGTGGAGATCCCTGGCCAGGCACCTGTTGTCTTGCTTCCTGGTTTACACCTCTGAGGGCAGGTTCACGTTGGTTCTTTAACAACAGCCCCTCCTGGTGTTTATCTGAGGGTTTTGCATGCAAAGCTGAGTCTGTCTCTTGATTAGTGGAAGCTAAATATAAAGGTTGGAAAGACTTGCTGTTGATATTTAATGTGTTCAGTTCCATAATAGCAATGCCCACTTCCTCTTCTTCCTCACTTTCATCTGCAAAAGGAGGGGAACTCACAGTATGCGCGTCATCTGTAATGTTAATGTCAGAGCAAGAAGGGTGAGCAGGTCGTAACACATTATTTTCCACTATACCGGTACTTATTACATCTGTTACAGATGGTTTATATGTCTTCTGATCAGCTGGTTCAGTCATCTGAGATGCCTTTAACCATTCTCGACTATTCTGGCTATCTAAAGAAGTAATGTCTTCTGTTGGGTCTGAAATGACATCAACATCACTGATACACTCTGCCACCTCACCCTCAGGGCTGGAAAAGCCCTCTTTGTCACGGTGTACTCCTGCTGATAAGGCACCCAAGGAAGGTGTAGGCGTGAAAACTTCCTCGCATAACTCAACTTCAGGTTCCTCTTGAGTCTTTAGTCCTCCCGATAGGTTTTTAGGAACTTGCTCTGATCCCATCACTGCTTCCTCTGTCTCCCTTATTCTCGCAGCTCCTTCATTTTCCATTTTAGTCGCATCAGCTGTTTTGATTTTTGAGATAGTCTCTTTCTCCCGCTGAATATTGACCTGAGCATCAGGCTCCAGGGTGTCTATATCCTCCTCGGGTTCTGCCTTGGGTGCCTTTAAGCCTTTCAGAGGGAAGTTGTCACCCCTCGCCCAAGACTCATTGACCGACTCGTCAAGTAAGTTGACAGGGCACTGCTCCTGCCAGGCCGTGGGTCTTGTTGCCATGGTGACAGGTCTGCTGATGTAGAAGTGTTTGGAGCAGTCAGGTTGTTTGGCCTCCAGCCAGTCAGTCTGAATGAAAGCAAAAGAGCACAGATGGAGGAGAGGGGAATGGCAGAGTGATTGACATTGTTTAGCATTGTTTATTTTATACACTAATATTTTAGAGCATTTCAAACAACTCATTCATATTACTGCTGCAATGAATCATTGTCTGTTTTCACTGTGCGAAATGCTGAGGGCTATACTGACATGTTTTCATTTGTATTTGCATAACTCTTTCTCATCTCTGTTGAAATACTACAGCGAACAGACAAGAAAGAACATTTTTAAATAATTGTTAAGAGGGAAAAAAACATGTTAGGACACTTGGCATTTGCATAGCAGGATTTGTTGTTTTTAAAAGATAATGTCAGCTTCTGTTTCCCTTTCAGCTATCAGAGGTTTTAAAAAATAATGGTATAAAGGTTTTTTTTTTTTAAATAAATATATGTTCATTATTATGCAAGTGGGAAACAAATGAAAGAAAAAATGGAATATACTTGAAGTGATGACATCTAAAAACAGGCCATACGAGTATGAAAATGAGGATGAATCAGACGACGCTGCAGTCCTCAGAACTCATTGGACTCATCTGTATGGGCTCAAATTGTGGTCATAAATATTTTGTACTTGTAAATCAGTTTTGTACTTGTAAATCAGGATTTGTATGTGTAAAAAGAATTTGTGTGTGTAAAAAAGATTTGTGTGTGGACTTAGCCAAAAAACTATGTGAGAAAGTCTGCACTCAAGTTTCAAGTTACAAGTACGAATTTTGACTCTATTTTTCTTCCTTTCATCTGATTGGCCAATGTCATGTCAATCACAAATTTACCTATCCAATCAAAGAACAGATGGGTTTTGCTGTGGAGGGGTGCTTTTTTTATTTATTGTATGAATCCAGACATCTGAGCAAAGATCACTAAAACTGTTCTGGGGCGCATGGCGGACTAGTATCTCTTTTAATTTGTTACTGTCTTCTGTATATGCTTAAATAACTGTGTTGGATTAGAGCACTGCAAATCCAGTTAAAGTGTACTGCATTCCTTTTCTCTCTCTTTAACGGCAGCTTTAGTGCGCTTATGTTATTATATGACACGCAGGGTGTTTATAAAGCTGTGCCTGACTTTGGCTGTAAGGTGGCAACTACTCTGTGCAGAGCCTAACTAAAGTTTTCTGCTGAGCACACCTTTTCTTTAATCAGCTTACAGGCTGGGAAATGGCTCAGTAACACACACATCATACACACACACACAGACACACACAACACGCTCACACACTCACACACACACACAGACACACACACACACACACACACACACACACGCATGCAGACAATAGGATTGTCTGCAGGATATACTGACTAAAGTGGAGTCCAACTCATCCAATATCTCTTTTTCTTTAATACACACTCCTGTATTTCAAGCTTGCCCTGAATCTGTATTACTTCTGTCTCTCTCTCTCTCTCTCTCTCTCTCTCTCTCTCTCTCTCTCTCTCTCTCTCTGTCTCTCTCTGTCTCTCTCTCTCTCTCTCTCTCTCTCTCTCTCTCTCTCTCTCTCTCTCTCTCTCTCTCTCTCTCTCACACACACACACACACACACACACACACACACACACACACACACACACACACACACACACACACACACACACACTGTCATCTCTTGTTCAGCTTGCGTTCTGAAAAACTCCCTTTCCCATCACTATTATCACTTCCAAGCCATTCTGACTAGGCTGGACTCCAACTGTGACTGATCATTAGGGGAATGTAGACCACAGCACTGGGGATCAATGGTCTTTGATGAACTGGGACGGACGGACAAATGAGGTACACCCCCTTCGTGTACAGATTATAAGGAGTGACAGCATGACACGGTGGGAAGAATGGGGATCGCTGTGGCATACTGGCTGAACATGTGGATGCAACAGCAGAACAATGTAGCCTAGTGCGGGTAAATTAGTATGAGATCAGGGAGAGGAAACAGTGAGATATGAGAGATAAGACAGAAACTGGTTTGGGAAGCCAATCTCCAGCTGCGTTTGATGTATCTGGGCTAACATTATTATCAGCTTCCAGCTAAGACACACATACTAACTCAAGGTTTCTTTCTTGTTTCCGAAATGTAAAAAGATTTCAAGCCAGAACATTATTTGTTTTGTTTCATATACCAGTTTAATAAGCAGCTTATTAGTGTGTTCACTGAATGCCCTATTCAGTGCCCATTATGAAATGTACCCTGGCTAACGTCAGGCCGGGTGTTTTGTAATGAGGGGGCAGTGAGATTTGGGTAACTGGCATTCCCACGGAGTTATTACTGTGCCTAAATGAGCAATAACCTCAGTCATTAACTCAGTTTATGCATGCTGCTTTTTAACTGATCAGACACAGAAACACAGGCTCAGCTGTTACCTGCACACATGACTCTACCACCTATGTTACAGAATAACTGACAGAAACTCCTGAAATTCATAAAGTCAGAATAATAAGTCGCTTACTAACGGAGAGTTCCCAACACTAAGCTTCATTGTGAAATTGAGCATGAAAAGGAACATTTTGCCACAGTGAGAAAGAAATTTGTTATAATGGTTTAAACTTTGTAGCCTCCAACGCTAAGGTAGTAAAACAAGCTGCTCATTCATTCTGGGGCATGTTGATGTAATCTAACCACTCTAAGCATAAACTCTGACAATTGATTATTGGATTCTTTTTTATTTTCAGAGGAATCTGGCAGAATTTTACCAAAGGTAAGGTTGCGGATTAAACTTAATTACATAACAGACTTATGTTTTGTTCATTATATCCACAAAGGCTCTTACATTATCAAAAGAACAGAATAATCATTATCATCATTGGGGAAAAAACATCTGTGTCAGCTCAAACAAATAAACCTCCTTTTCGTGGTCAGCAATGTCCTAAAACTGTTAAAGATCTAACGACTTTAGACAAAAAAATTGAAATGAATTTGAATAAATGCAGCCAAATTCATCCCTAGTGTTGTTGCTGTCTAATAGTTGCTGACTATGTTCTTTTAACATTTTCCAGGCATAAGTGTCATATTTGAGAAATTGATCCCAATAGGCTCAGCTGCTCCAAACTTCTGTACTACGCTTGTTTGTTTTTTCCCAGTGGTAATTACTTACCCTAGAAAATATTTCATGTATGTATTTAGAGCAGTTTCCTACTCAACAAGAACATACTACAGGAACTGAATATACAGCTACACATACCTGTTGCACATACCTGTCTTGAAGATGCCCTCCAAATGATAGATTCCTGTGTAATACACACTTGTCTTGCTTCAATTCACTGATGTGTAATCAGCAGAACAGGACTCTGTCTGCTCTCGGCTCTCACAATGCCTCAGAGCCCGGCTCTCCTCATTTGTGCACACCAACACCATCAGTCCAACAATTGTGCACGCCCACATTTGCATTTCATTCACCCACAATCACTAATACGTGGACAAATATGCATGAGAGTCTGCTTAAACACATGTGCTCCAGGCTTACTCTGCTGTCATGGATTTGAAAATATGATATGTAGTAATAATCCTATTGGACTGGATTGGAGTTGCATCGCATTTAAGACAATAGTGTTAAGCTACTAGCGAACAAGAGTAGGCTTGGTTAGCCTCATGAATAAATAGACTGTGCTCTGCATAGACAGACATTTCATTCAGTTTATATAGTGCCAAATCACAACAAGAGTGGCCTCAAGGTAAAGATCCTACTAAAACTAATCTTTATCTTTCCATTCTCAGGCTATGTTCCTTTCACCGCAGGGAAAAGGGTAACACCACCTGGGTCTGGGTGCAGTTCCCCCCTCCAGGGGCAAGGGTACCTAGACCCGGTTTGTAGAGTACGCTTGGGGAGTGTGATCGTGTGTACAGCGTCTCTTTATGTCTGTCTCCACGTTGGTTGAGTGTGGAGTAGTGCATATGAGAGCATGAGGGTGGGAATGGATGTTTGTGTCTGTGTGTGCCTGTATGTCTGTGTCTATATGTCAGGTTGGGTATCAGACGCCACCTCTCTGGGGACACTCAGGCCCTCCAAGGTTTGGAGGCCTATCTCCACCCACCACCACTTCCCCTGCCGGTGGCGGACTCCCTCAGGTGTCGGTGCGTTGGTGGTTCTTTGTGTCTGGGGGTGGGCGTCCAGGTACACACCGGCTCACTCCTTGGCGGCCGCTTATCGGGGCCTGGAGCCTGGGGCTCGCTCGGGCCCCTTCGGAGGTGGGGTGCCCCCGGCCTCTCGGCCTGGGGCTCGGTCACTCAGGCACAGCTGGCGGCCGGCGGAGCTCACGGGCGCGTCACTGCAACTCCCCCTGGCTTCTGCTCCGCGGCTGCTGAGTGAGCCCTCATCTGGGACTCTCCTCAGCTCTTTCTGGGACAGTGGCGCGGCTGCCCCTCTGTTGGTCTTCCTTGGTCTCTTGTGTTCTGGGGGCCTCTGGATGTCTGGAGTTTTGATCTCCTCCATACCTGCTTCACACCCTGGAGGACGGGGCTGTGGCCCCCCCACACTCCCTAGCAGATCGTTACATGGAGAAACCTTTGGAATACAAGCGCGCTGATCCACACAGGTATGCACACGGGTGTTCACTGCTCGTAGACCCAAATTACACCTTTCTTGGCTGCTACTTCGAAGCACATCTGTCCTGCGTGCTGCACAACAACATTGAATATTTAGTATTTACTGCTGTTTACACTTAGCTAGATTAATGCGATGGTGTTGTGTTTAGTATGTTGCTTTGTTTTTTGTTTTTTGTCTTTTTTTGCTTGTTTTCTATTCTTCTCTCAACAGGTGATCCAGGAGATTTTTATTTTTTTTCTCCCCCCCTTTCTCACTGTCCCTCTCCCCTTCTGTTTTTCCTTTCCTTCCTCTTTCTTTCTCCCTTTCCTATCCCTCACTCATGTCTGTCCCGTCTGTAACATCTGAAAATAAAATATAATAAATAATAAAAACAAAGATCGACCAAATGGACCAATACGGCAATGCCACGATGATCCATTTGGCAAAGTAAATCCATTGGGTATCCTTGTTGGTCTTCAGACAACAATTCTGATGGCTAAAGAACCAAATGGGACAGGCGAAAAAAAAAAAAATCTTTATCTTTCCATGAAGCCAGATGGCACACACCAATTTGTTAAACTGCAGGAATGACTTAAAGACTTTCATAGTGATTACATGCTGCGTGGCCAAATTTCTGTGCATATTGAAGGTATTTCCTTTCTTTGTTGTGCTGTGTTGGCTTCATTACTCAAAACAATATAAACCCATAGTTTACAGTCCCACAAACCAATAAAACCAAGTCCCTGTCCTAATGAGGACACACATACAATCTTTCTCTCAGTATTTAGGTATGAACACACAGCAAAGATGAAAACTATCTTTAGAAACATAAACAAGTATAAACAGAGGCTCCAGCCTGACTGCTCATCGCTGCGTTTGTCAGCTGCTGAAGTTCAGGGTGTGGCTGCTGGGCTGGGGTCAGCATTCACTGAGCTTTATTATCGCTCTGGATTCTTGGCTGGCTTAGCGTTAGCATGCTATCTGTGCAGATGCTTGCAAAGAGCTGAAGT